TAATGGCTTTAAAACCCGACGGCCTTTACGTATATGAAACAACTAAACAAGACAGCATATAATTTCAGTGTATCTTTAATATTGATTCCCTTTTTTATGATATTGAATTTTTTAAATAAAAAAGAAAGCAAAGTTATTTGCAAGCGGGAAAACGTCTTGGAATCTACCCAAACTAAATGAGAATATTCTGAGGATACTCTACCTGTTATAATCAATATTATTAATGATATTAAAAACTAGTGCTAGCATATCAAAAGTGCAAAATATTTTGCCTTTAAATATGTCAGAAGTTATCAGCTATACAATAGGGCTTGATAGATATCTCGTAAGAGAAATCCGATCTGGTGCGTTGACATTACGGGTTAATTAAAAATATTTATTACATACATGACAAAATTACTGCAATCTGATTGGTTAAGAGGATTGCAATTATTTCATTAATTGCACTCTCCAGAAGTGCAATTAATGATTTTCGTGATGGCTGGGGGGGGGGGGGGGGGGGGAGCGGGAAAGCAAAACAACAAAAATCCAATATGGCGGCGAAATTTAAATAAGTATAAATAACAAATGTGGACGAATTTAACTAAATTTTGGCACAAGAATGAGTTTAAAAACATTGTATGGCAAAAAGAGCCTGTGGAAAAACCTGGAAACAGTTTTAAGAAATAATATCGGCGGGATGCAGCGAAACGTGACTATATGTAGTCTGTAATACAATTTATAAAAATTTTCTTACTCTAAAATATGTTGTTTGAGTTTCACTGATTTTGTGTTCTAGTTTAAGTTATGGGCCTTTATGAGTTTATGATCATTTCCCAAGTTTGCATGTTTATACCAAATTGCTTACAAAAGAATTAAAAACTCTTGACAAAATGCAGTGGAATTTTCAAGAAATTAAAGCGACTTTGTCATGCATATAATAAATAAATAGTCACACGGGCAAGTCGTGCTTGATTAACACTACTCGTGATATCTGAAAAACGGGCCAAATTGCACTCGCCTCGGCAGCTCGTGCAATTCTGGTACATTTTTCAAATATCACTCGTAGACGTAGTGTTAATCATTAATTGCACTCCTTCCCGTGTGATTACCTATACTAATTATGTATTATCGTATACACTATACATTGCTGCATGCACGCAGCTACATCTAACACAGCGGCCCAATCTCAGAACGAATGATCAGGTATTACGGGGTTTTAACGGTTTTTATAAACAAATTTTATATACTCAACCAAAACTATTCTAAAAACATTCTTAAATTAGTCAAATAAATACATTTTAACAATAAAATATAGTTGACATGATAGTATAATACCTTTGCATTCTTTTAATTACTCCATGAGCTCATTTAGAGCGGTTGATGTAACATTTTCTGTGGCCTACATTGTGTGTGCTCATTATATATAATATAACTTACAGTAAAAGGACCCTAAAAGGCTAATTACTGGCGGCACGACCGCATCGCCTTCAAAGTCAAATATCTCCGCTCAAATTTGTCGTACGGCAAAACAAATTCGATTACATCTTTTCACAAAGATTTCTCTTTCTAAATAATATGGTTTGATCATAGTTTGGGCAAATTTAGCGACGAACGGAGCCAAAATATCCTCAATTTCGAATGCTGTTCAAAATACTTAGGGCTGCTCGGGCACGATCGTGGACGTGACGTAATCAATACATACTGACAATAACGCCTTACCGCCTTACGTGGGGTGGGACAGCATCAAGCGACAAACTATCGTCGGATTTGATATGCTGTCCCACCCCGGGTAAGGCGTTATTGTCAGTATGTATTGATTACGTCACGTCCACGATCGTGCCCGAGCAGCCCCAAGTATTTTGAACAGTTTCCGAAATTGAGGAAATTTTGGTTCCGTTTGTCGCTAAATTTGCCCAAACTATGATCAAACCATATTATTTAGAAAGGGAAATCTTTGGGAAAAAATGTGATCGAATTTGTTTTGGCGTACGGCAAATTTGAGCGGAGATATTTGACTTTGAAGGCGATGCGGTCGGGCCGCCAGTGATTAGCCTTTTCCTGTTATATTATATATAGATGAGCACACACAATGTAGGCCACAGAAAATGTTACATCAACCGCTCTAAATGAGCTCATGGAGTAATTAAAAGAATGTAAAGGTATTATACTATCATGTCAACTATATTTTATTGTTAAAATGTATTTATTGACTAATTTAAGAATGTTTTTAAAACAGTTTTGGTTGACTATAAATTTGTTTATAAAAACCGTTAAAAACCCGCAACACCTGATCATTCACTCTGAGATTGGGCCGCTTGTGGTCTGAGAAAAAGCAATGGATTTGTTGCCAAGACCGTGCACGGGTTCAAGAGCAATCACTGCATATTACAGATAGGCGTGTTAATGTTAATGTTTATGGAAGTAATATTCACTATTAAATCATAAGCAAGAATATATAATATTTTCAAGATCAAGTGGAATTTGTTGAATACGTACAGTTAAATTATATAACACAAGTTTTTGCTATCTGATTTCATATTATTAAGTCTAGTGCTAGGCGCATTTACTACATTGTATACACAGTATTAAACTAAGAAACCAAAACTTTATAATAAATTAAAATATAGAACTTACAGTGGTCAAAGTCCATTGAGTGAACAACGCACGAAGTGCAGTCACGTTATTTTATACACTAAATTATGGCCTTTACAGGGCTTAAAACTTTACTAAACCTTACGCCGAGTGCCTGAGTCAAAATAATTTACAAGTCGAAGCAAGCAAAACAATTAATAATTATTCGCCGAAGGCGAGGTGATTATCGGGGAATATTCGCCGAGACGAAGTCGAGGTGAATATTCCCCGATAATCACCCAGTCTGAGGCCAATAATTGTTTTAGTAGTTTTGCACAAGTTTTTTTGTGTTTTTCTTGTCTGAATTCATTTTAATTTCGCTTATTTCTTTATCACTATAAACCTCAACAAAACAGCTAGCCGCCATTTTGAAAATTTCGATTTTGTTATATTCACCTGTAGGTGAATATAACAGATTTAATACGTCAAATTTGACCAATCTCCTTGTAGGATTTGTTATGTTCACTTAAACGATATTCTTCAAATACGCCTCAAATATTGTATATCGACCACAATACAATTGGCTAACTAAAATTTACTTCAAAACCCCCTCTCTGTACATATTAGAACGTTGCTACGCTCGCTCGCTTCAGGCTCGCTCGCT